GAGGGAAGTCCACGTAGTTAATTTTTATATTCCAAAACACGTGTAAACATGTGAAACACACTCACATATTGGTGTCAACATCCGACGTCACAGGTCGCAAGCTAAACGTTCTAACAGTATACGGATTCCGAAAATCATCGCAAAGGCACGTGCAGACATCGCACCTGTCGAAGAATGAATTTTTAACCCAGTAGATATCATCGGCCTCCCTAGTCCGCTCACTGCAGATCGAACGGTTCTGCATTCGAGTGACTCCTTTGATCCCCCCGTAGCGTCTGTTCATGTACGGAATCTGCAATAAAGTTCAACGCCCGCAATTGGTTGCCTTCACATCAATAGAAGTTTCGGCACTGCCCTCTACACTGATAGAGAGGATTAGTTATTATTAACAAATGGATTTAATTGGAGGCTACAGTCTATTTGGTTTCACCAATGTTTATTCGTTAACAGTTAACAAATACATATTCGAGGCGCCTTATTTGGCTCGACTCTCGCCTTTTAAATTAACCATTCGTTAGTTACTAACGAATGTTAATAATGTTTATCTGGTCACATTCAACTCTACCATTCGTTCATAGTCAACGAATCTCGTCTGGAATGAACGCATCATTCTATCAGTGCACTTGAAAACAGGGGATATAGCCAATCAAAGGAATAGAACACACAGAAAAACTTAAATGTAAATTATGCTTTGCTAAACTTAAATTTCGCGTTGCTAAACGTAGATTACGTTTTGATAAACGTAAATTATCAAAACGTAATTTATACCTAAACAAAGCATCTTTTACGTTTATCACAACACAAATTACGTTTATCAAGAGGTAATTTATTTATTGAAATAGGATAAGTAAATGTCAAATACGAAAAAAATCACGTAAGTGACGGCAAATTTGGAACTACGAAATCGTAAATTATGTTTATGAAAACGTAACTTATCAGACGGCGATTTTAAGCGTAATTTACGCTTCAACTTCAAGTGTAACAGACGACTTCTCGAACGTAATTTACGCTTAGGTTCTTCTGTGTGAATCAATCGAAGCTCTGATATTACCGGCTGACACAGGGGTCCCAGTGACTGAAGATAGCACTTGTGGATCACCCCCTGACACACGTCAGTCCCCTCGAAGGGAACATCTCCGTATCTCGTGAACTCGCTTATGTCATAATCACGACATGTGTTCCAGCAAGAAGCGTCTTTGTGCAAGTTCGCTTCGTTGACGATTATCTGTTCGACGAACCACTTCAAACGGATGTACGTGAGTCCTGACAAGTGCAGTTTGGAAAACTCTAATCAATCTCAATAATTCGTCACGTGCGAAAAAATTTCACGGAAGGCCCTAGCGAATTCGATGGAAAATTTTGGTGTTCGTGAGGTACATGACTCGTTCTCGCTGTTATTTGAATCTCATCAAATGCGAACTGTAGCACTGAGGGCACGGAGAGAAATATTCAGCAAAAATTACGGAATAATTCACGTAATCCGCAATGGGGAATCGTTTTCTGGCAATTTTTTTATAGGAATGGAAGAGAAGAAATCTGAAACGTTCAGTGAATTTTCCGGTTCATCACCGAACAAAGTACGAAATTGTCCCGTAATTTTTCCCGAAGAAGCAAAATCTTACAGAGACTTGCCGACTTATTGTGCCTGGTGAGTTATTTCTACGTTTCGTTCCGGAAAATTTCTCAATGGTTGGGGAAAAATTACGGAACGACTTCTTGTCCCCACAGCGGTGAGTCATCAGGCGGGTGGTTGATTGTTACGGAACAAATCGTGGAATTTACGTGGCGATTCGTACAATTTCAGTTCCGACTCGCACTTTTCATTGAATTTTACTTCGCCCACGGATTGCGTTTCAAAACGTAATTTTTACGTTATTTTTTCTGGTAATTTTTACTGAATTTTTCTCTTCGTGAAAAGGACGCAATTCAGCAGCCATTCACTTCCAATGGTTCAACAGATGAGATTCACAGTTCGAAAATGTTTAATTAGTTAATGCCATGAGTGGTGTAAATTCATCTAATGTACATCTAATGTACAAGCAATCCAATAGGATTTTCTATCGAAAACGTTGAGTTTTTCTATGAAATTGTTCCGCGCATGATAGGTCGAATTAGTTTAGTCACAAATAAATATTGAACCTTCAATGTGTTCGTATGGATCCCTAGGCATTACATCCCTCGGTGCAATTCTTAAAGCATCAATAGTCATCCTTCCGAAGTCAGCAGCGCGCAGGGCAAATTCTGTCTGCCATTTCTCGATCTCCTTCTCCTGACTGGCCCACGGACTATTTCGCCGGATTCGGACTATTTCCTCGGCGTAAGACTTTAGAAGGGCGATACTTACCTTCAGGTATGAGAGGTACACCTCTTGGTGGATTGATCTCGTTGGAAATGCGGGTATCTTTCCACGAATCTAGACAAGTTTAGTGTCGCGCACGAAATAATTCCATGGACAAATTCGGATTCGATAAGAAATTCCATTGGATTCCTATTGAACTTCTACTGAAAAGTTTATTGGATTTTCGCCGATTCTATTGAAGAATTTTGTAGCTTCATTGTGCTGTTTTATATTTTAAAAACGTCAAATAAACATTGTTTTATGAATAAAAAAATACGGAGAATTTCACCTTTCTCTGCAACTTTCTCTATTGAGACATTTTCCCTGAAAACTCTTTGACATGAATTTTCTAAGTTTTTTCAACACTTTTTCTTCTCTTTTCATTGAAAAGATAAGGTAAAAAACTTGGAAAATTAGAGCCGACGAATTGTATAAAAAAAGCTCCATAGAACGCTTTGTAAATAAAAATGGAACATTTTTCATTGAACACTTTTATTGAAAAAAACGCGGAAATAACGTGCGGAATTTTTCACTGGAATCCCCCAAAAACTAACAAGAAATCCAATAAAAATACAATTGAATTTTCTAATGAATGTAAAATAGTTATTTTTACTGAAAGTACAAACACTTATTTCAATTCACTCTTTTCTAGAATTCTCTCTTTATATTAATGCTATTTTTCACTCTCTTCTCCTCCGTCCACTCCCATAAAAACGAAAAAAACAGCAATCTTGGAAAATTTTTGTCAAGAAATTTCTATATCAAGATCGAAATGTACTCACAGCTTTCAAAGTAGATGTTTCGAATGGATAAAAAGCCGTAAAAATCGCCAAATAAGTAAAGTTGATTCATTAGAACGGATTAGTACCTCTTTGACCTGATTCCCTGCAACCCGATGGAAGAAGCACCCCGACCTGTTCCTGACACTCTCACAGCCACTCATGATGGCTCTGTAGAATTCATCTACAGAATGTTTCCACGCGCTATTCTGCCCTTCTCGATCCTCCACAGCCCTCCTGTAATGTTCCCCAATCCTATCGATTCGCGATTCGATGTCATGAATCTGTGTAATAAATTCCCGAATGAGTGCGCAGAGCTTCTGCCCCCCGTTCCTCCCGACCGGTTCGTTCATCGAAAGTCCAAAATAATCGTCACACGTCGCAAGAATCTTCTGAGGGTCTCCATAAACCCTCAACAGGTCATTAAGCGACAGATTCTCAGCGAAATCTCTGTCGTAGTTTCGCAGCTGATTGTACAGAGCTATTATCCCCGAACTGATGTCCATCGCGTTGGCATAACTCAGGATGTTGAAGCCCTCGTTGATGATGTGAGGGTAATGGATCTGCCCCTGACAATAGCCTGACGAAGACAGAAGCAACAAGACTGGGGCTAGATGCAGCGAGAATTTCACAGTCATCTTGATTCCTTCTAATGGATTCTCCAGTTGACTATGAATGACTGAAGAGTCCCATCACGGAAATAGTTAATGGAGATGTTTTGAATTTGGAGATGAGTGGGAAGAGAACAGCGGATTCACGCGCTTATCTTATCAATGATGAATTTGGAAAGACCTCATTTAGGGCTAGTCGCTATCATTTGACACGGCTATCGTAACATGGGGTTACCGATTCAAATGTTTATGTGGGGAGTTGTTGCTGTGCATTCACGACAATTTTTTTCATCTTCCGGAGACTTTATAAGCGTTTTCGCCTTTGCAGCTCAGATTTCTCCCAGTGCAGCCGCTCACAGATACACGGAGAGGAATATCCAATAAAAATTACGTATCTTTTCCGTAATTCCGGAGCGAAATATGACTGTAGGAAATTTTACGCAACCGTCACGGAATTTTTCCAGAGCGTTCCGTAATTTTTATCTGAATCTCCTGTAAAAAATTACGATACCGTCACTTAAATTTTCTGAGTCGATTTCGTAATCGGTAAGCGAACTGTGAGTTCGGTAATTTTTCCTGAACATTTCTCTCCCTGTAGCGAACGTTGTTGACACTAGGCCCATTTCTCCAAGATATACCATCCGGAAAGCTCCAATTTAACGCTCGACTGCCCCGTGATTACACCCTCAGTTCCGCACACACGGCGACTCATCAGCGTCATATTATCTGCAAACACAGCTATTGGATACGATGGACTGCTACCTGTGATCATGCTAGTCACTGCAAAGCTGAATATGTTGAAATACCGCTTCACCACTCGCCCGGAGTTAGCAGGGACAAGCTTCAGCGATCGAGCCACTAAATCGAGAGATGAGAGGCTGGTAATTGGGAAGAAGCTCGTCCCTGATTTAATTACGTGTCACTCGATTATCGGTGGGATGAGGGAATTTCAATAGAGAGTTTATCGAATTTGCTCAGTAATTTCATTGAATTCATCCGGGAGTTATTCAGGTAGTTTTGGATCACCAGTTGCAGTCGCGATATTTAAATCAGGAGGTCTAATTGGTTATTAATATATTCATTAAAATGTGGTATTTTATGAAAAAATTCATAGAACCTGTCATTTTCATTTCAATTACTCCAGGAAATTGAATTTTTATTCTTTTCCAGTGAAGATAATGTCATAATTTAAAGTGTTTGGGTTTCACCAAAGCATGTGCCGAATCATTTTTATTGTAACCATTAACACAAATAACATTTGTCGGAAGAAATATTGATGATCAATTCACCCATCGAAAATGTTGCAGATTATTAAAACGACGGTGACCTATGCAAAACGTTGAAAACCGAGTACGACAGTTTCATCAGCTAAAACCAAACGCCCAAATGTCAATCAAAGATCAAGCCCCCACTAAAAGAATATCGAGCCACTCACGCTGTTGAAGGATTCAATAGACAGCGTGATGATGTACCCAGTGGTGAACTGCAGGGGCTTCTGGCTCCTCTGCATTATCAATATCAGACTTCTCTTGGTGGCCACCCCTAGATCCGGCCAGTCCATGCTAAAGATAGCGTCGCTAACTTTGGAGCTCTGATAAAATCGTCAATCATCACCACTCGAGAATAGCGGGGCTAAACTCAGTAGCGAAGCGGTAAACCGGTTCAAGTCGATTTAGTCTACTGATAAGTTTTTAATGAATATCTCGGAACCTAAGGGAGATAGCACATTTTTTCTAATAACCTTTTTTGTAGCCCTCCATTCGCTCTACAAAAAAGGTCATGACGAAAATTTTGCTATCTCTCTTGGATTCGGAGATATTCCTCGACGTAACCCTCGATCACTTGCGTTCGGCCGCCAGACTTCATCTGTCGCGCAGTTAGCGCAGCGCCGCTGGCTTAAACCGAGCGCGCTGTTGCCAGCTTGGCGCTTAACGCTATGCGCGCATTCCAAGTGTGACAGTGAATGTAGCAACACTGTCGCTCGAGGAGTCCACAGAGACTCACTCACGTCGGGCGGTGCGGCGCCGCTTATCTGTCCGTTCGACGTTTCTTTTCTGTTTTCAGCTGAACTAATTTCCCGAGAAACACGCGGACAACGCCAGCGCTTAATAAAAGGATGGAACTAGGAACTCTAATTTTTTCAGAATTTTTAACCGTCCAGAAACACGCTAAAATATAAAAAATGAAAACGGGCGGTGCCGCGCTTATTGAACGGGTGATAAAGGGTTAAACCGGTTAACCCCTTCGCTACTGAATTAGCGGTTACCTGAAGAGTGATTTGGTGGCCGGAGTAGCAGGGCATGAACACCTGGGATACCATGCAGATGAGGTAGAGGATGACAGAGATGAGGGCTGGCTGAAAAGCGTTGACCTGGGATAGTCTCAAGACACTCAGACATATCACCACTGAGCTCAAGGAATACTGGAGAAATATCATGATCCCAAATATTTTATTGTTTTCTTTCGTCAATCTGAAATTGAGAAATTGAAAAAATTTCCATGGAACTAAAATTTGCGTTCGGTTTTTGCGAATAGCTTGAAAACTAATGGATTTGGAGAAAAATGTCATAAAAGATTTTTTGTAGAAATTTTTATAAGCTACAAAAAAGTCTTCACACTTTTTCTTCTAAACCCACTCGTTCTCGAGATATCAGCAAATTCATCTCTACAAATTTTCTTGATTTATCTCGAGAGGTGGAATTTTTTAAAATATGTGGATTTAATTTTCCTATTTACACAACTGAAATATTTTTAGATGATGTTGGACACACTCGGCCAACTTTTTCGCTTCGAACCTCATGACCCGCCTCCTCTGGCTAGCCTCGTCCTGCGGGAAATCGAGAGCCGATTTGTCCCTCACTCGATCAACCAATTTCGGTAGCAATTGAAACCGATGATCGAGGATGGCAAACTGGGCGCACGCCTGTATCATTATTCCAGGGGCGATGGTATCATAAGCCGCGTGCATGCATGCGTCAAATCCGTGGGCAATGACTTGGTGCATGTAAGCCGCCCAAAATCTGCCCGGCGAAGAGTAATTGAAGGGCAGCCAGGCGTGATAATACAACTGGTGCCTTGGCACGTCGCGAAAGAAACTGACGGTTGTCAGTGCCGTTATCGTACACACATAGAGACCGATGTAGTAGATATTAAGGATTCTACAACCAATGAATCGGGCGTCAATCAATATCGACTGGCAACTGAATCAATGAAAGGAAACGGGGATTGGAATGAGCGAAGAAAAAATTGCCTGTACTATTTCGTGTATATCTCGAAAACAAGGAAATTAAAAAAGAAAAGTCACTAAAGCATTTTTTCACCTCTTGAAATTCCTCACAAAAGATGTCTTATGACATTTTTCTGTACAACCTTCCCCTCCGGAGATATTCGCATTTTTATGAAAGACGTAAAAAAAATGTGAAGATAAAAAACGAAAAACTTACCTTCAGTATTTTGCAAATATCTCAAAAACTACTGGGTTTATCAAAAAATGTAAGAAGAACATTTTTGTAGCTCTTGAAATTCCCCACAAAAAATGTTTTATGACATTTCCTCGCAAACCCATTCACACCGAAGATATTTTCAATTACTTTTTTTCAAAAAATTGATTAAGAACAGAATCCAAATGTGTGAAAAACTTACTTTCATTATAAATAATTAACCAATGGTCAGACTGAAAAAATGTTAAAATTCTCTATTTCACTATCAACTCACTTAATTATCCGAGAAAAGTGCTGTAAGATAGCTTTCTCCTCCTCATCCTGCGGTTTGCACGGATAAGTATTCAACTTTTCCTCGATTCCGAGGATTCTCCTCCGGATGTAGAGGCAGTGGGCAGCTTTGACCCCCGCGCCAATGGTAGACAGCAGTATAAAAGCGTTATTAATAAAATGTTTGAGACTCTTGTACGTCACCAAGAGGTCAATCACTTGGGAAAGTGTATTCGTGTAAACGAGAATGATCATGCCAGCGGTGTAAAAATAATAAAGCCTCGACTTCCATCCTGATGACCAGTCTGGTGGAAGCCAAACACCCCAGAATCCCAGAACGGAGAAACTGTAAGGCAGCATTAAGCTAAAAGCTAATCCTCTGGTTTACACAAGGACAATATGTGGACTGCGCCCTCGAGGCACCTCTGATAACGCCCACTCTCGTCTATTACTCATTGCTTGAATAATTAAATTCACGAAGGGGGCCACTCTCGTTTCTGCATCTTCAGCCCTCGGGGTTTCCGCGAAACCACTGGGAATGATTTTTTTCCATCTTTTTTAAGTATTTGGTTTCCGGGAAAAGAGCGGTGAATTATTCAGCGATGACGGCATGGACTTTTTCCCGTCGTTTTTTATTCGAAGAATTATTTATTGCATTTTACGATAATCTTATACTTTTTACAGAAAGGTATCGTTGCGAGGGGATTTTCACCGGAGAGTTCGATGGAACCGGTTGGAAATAGAAGTTTTGGTGAATTATTGATGATTTTTTTTTGATATTCAAAGAATTATTACTCATTTCGGAAGGTTGGAGTGGCATGCCTGCAGATCCGGAATTAGCGTTTTCAATAGTTGATGAGGAGAAAGCGAAAAAAAATTTGATATGTGATTTTTTCGATGAGTTTCGGAGGATTCCATGGGTTCTATACTAGGTTTCTTATTTTTTTGGCCGTGACTATTCGCACCATTGCGTGAATCACTCCCGTACACTCCATACACTCCACGCATGCGTGAAGTTTATGTGTTTCACGCAGCCGAATTTTCATACTGCTGTGTATTTCACGCAGTTGAAGGTTCATACTACTGTGTGTTTCACGCAGTTGAAGTTTCATACTACTGTGTGTTTCACGCAGTTGTATTTTTATACACCTGTGTGTTTCACGCAGTTGCATTTTTATACACCGGTGTGTTTCACGCAGTTGTATTTTTATACACATATATTTTTATACACATGTATGTTTCACGCAATTGTATTTTTATACACCTGTGTGTTTCACGCAGTTGTATTTTTATACACATGTATTTTTATACACATGTGTGTTTCACGCAGTTGTATTTTTATACACCTGTGTGTTTCATGCAGAAAAAAACATTCATATCTTGTCTGACATCTTTGCTACAAACTCGGG